AAAAAAAAAAACACAGGCACTCCTGGGCAGGGGCAGGGGCAGGGGCAGGGGCAGGGGCAGGGGCAGGGGCAGGGCTCTGGTCCTCAAGGGCTGTGTGACTGTGGGCAAACTTTTTCCCACGAGGGTGGAAGTAACCACCTCTAAAAGCTGGGGAGAGTGCTAGCTAAGATAAGCCTGTAAGGCAGCTCACCTGGAGTTCAGAAAACACTATCACGGCCCTGTTCTTCCCCTCTCCTAACCCCACCTTCACGCTCTTTCCATTTTCTCTTTTTCGACTTCGCCCTGGTCATTTCAAACCACACCTGTTTTCTCCGTTCTCTGAACCGGGGGTTCATCTGTCCTACCATTTGTTTAGCGATCTTCTCCGTGTGCGTTAAAAATTCCTTTGTGTATTGCTCTGTGCTGGGCATCTACAGAAATGTGTGTGCCACCCTTGCTGACCGCCAGGTGCTCCCAGCCTTCGGGAGGCAGACATGTGTGCCAGTATCCATGGCGCAAAGTAGGGAATGGTACAGGGGAGTGAAAATGGACTGGCTGGGCTTGGCTGCTACCTCTGGACCCCATACCTGTGGACCCCAGCCCACTGTGGGGGTTGCCCCCCTTACCAGCATCAGCAGAAGCATAGGTGGAGAAGAGTGTGGCCATGAGCTTGAGGGAGGACTTTTGGTACAAGCCGACCACGGTCTCATTGAGGGGGTCCTTGTTCTTTTCCAGCCAGCCCATGATGTTGTAGTCCACGGTGCCCGCATAGTGCACCAACGAGAAGTGGGCTTCCTGTTTCCCCTTGACGTTGCGAGGCTTCTGGAAGTTGTTGGACTTGCCCAGGTGGTTGTCATACAGCTTGGCCTTGAAGGTCATGTCTGAGGCCTTGGGGAACATGCACTCCTCCTCCAGGATGGACATGATGCCCATGGGCTGAGAGCGTAGACCAAGGAGAGAAAGAATCCCTATTTACACTCCCACACTCTGCCAAGAAGACTCCACAGACCCGCATTGCTAGGGTGGTGAAGGATGCCTGGGCGGAACCTCTTGGTTCAAGATAGGAAGATGATATTCTTTTCTTTCTTTCTTTTTTTGGTTTCTTGAGACAGGGTTTCTCTGTGTAACAGACCTGGCTATCCTAGAACTTACTCTCTAGACCAGGCTGGCCTCTGCCTCCCAAGTGCTGGGATTACAGGTGTGCGCCACCACTGCCCGGCTGATAATATTCTTAATTAACCTATATCCAATCGCATCTGGTGCTACCCCATGTAATTCTTTCCCCCAATAGCAAAATAGCTATGCATTCCTAATCACTCCCCTCAAGGCCTGCAAAGACTAGAAAAAGCTTCCTTTTAAGGCTAGGGACAGATATGTGTCCACAGAACTAGGTAGGCTACAGAGGCAGCCAGACCCCTGTCAATTCAAGGGTTGGCTGTGTGTGTGTGGGGGGGGGGCATCTAGGTTCTGAGACTAGAATTCTTTTAAGAATTTGGTGAAGTTGAGGCATGTGCCTCCCCCACAGTCTAGGGGATTCTGTGGTCTCTGGAAGATGAGAGCCTTGGTCTAGAATTCAGGTAATGACTCAGCTTGTGGGAAGTTCCCATTTTCAGTGGCTAGTGACCGACTGCATGCAGGTCAGATACTGGGCTCTGGCCTGTAGCAAAGGGCAAGACACTTTGATGCAGGAAATCATCATGGCACAGTGGACACTCGTCTCCCGAGGAGACCGGCTGGAAATTGGTTATTTCTCAGCAAGCAAGAAGAGCAGACATTTCCAGTTTCTGTCTAGGATCTTGCCATGAACGATGTTCCTTATGTGATAGAGAAGGGTCAGGAGTCCCTGGGAGGTGACTGTCATATAGTGGAACAAGAAAACAAGCTTTCCTCAAAGTCTGAGGAAAGAGGACAGCACTGGTGGGTGCCCGTGACCTCGCCACAGTGGGTGGAGCTCGGCTGGGGAGCAGCTTGGGATTCTGGGGACTGTAGTTCCCTGAGGGTAGAAAGGTTGGACCTACTACTCGGATAGTGGAGACCGGACACACCTTCTCGATGAGGTCGATGCAGGCCTGCAGGTCCATGCCGAAGTCGATGAACTCCCACTCGATGCCCTCCTTCTTGTACTCCTCCTGCTCCAGCACGAACATGTGGTGATTGAAGAACTGCTGCAGCTTCTCGTTGGTGAAGTTGATGCACAGCTGCTCGAAGCTGTTGAACTGGAGGGTGTGGCAGCCGGTCAGTCAGGCCGACTGAGGGTCCGAGTGGCCATCAGGCTCAGCCTAGGGCTGTGCCACACACCTGCCCGAGCCCAGCACAGGCATGGCTGGTCTCCTCCCAGGTCATGACAGGGACAGGAGAGCCTCTCCTGAGGGCAGGGACAGGGATTGGCGTCACTCCACGATCCCCACTGCCATTCCATGCCTGGCCCACCACGGCTGGCCCTCCTCCACATGGGACTGAAGGTGTGAGTGAGTGGGTGAGGGACCACCAGTGGGGTCCCAGGCCAGGGCTGCCAGACTCACATCGAAGATCTCAAAGCCGGCGATGTCCAGGACACCTATGAAGTACTGGCGTGGCTGCTTGGTCTCCAGGGTTGCGTTGATGCGGGTCACCATCCAGTTGAACATCTTCTCGTACACTGACTTGGCCAGTGCCCCGATGGAGTAGTACACCTGCTGGACACTCTGCCCCTTGGTGACATACTCGTTGCCCACTTTCACCCGAGGGTGGCACAGCCCCTTGAGCAGGTCGGCTGAGTTCAGCCCCATGAGGTAGGCGGACTTGTCGGCATCTGAGTGACAGGGAGAGTGGAAGTGCTTTCAGTCCCAGTCCCTTCCCAGTCCCAACCAACTTCTGATTGGGCTGTGACTCCACTTGCCAAGGCCTTGTCCCACCCCATCCCTCCCTCCCTCTCTCTATCCCACAAGCCTCAGTTTCTCCAGTCTGCCTGGGTGAAGACACTGACCAACCGTTTCTCATAGTCTTCCCAGTTTCCTCCTACTTTCTGTATGATGGTCCAAACAATTTTGTTGCCAACCCAATTCCTTAAGGCTTGTTGAAAGAACCGCTGGGTACAGCCTGGGAGACTTAGTCCCTGGCGACTGTGTTCAGCATGTGAGTGAGGTCAACAGGCCTCTTCAGCCCATGCACCGCCCCCCCCACCCCACGCCGCCGCGCCCCCCCCCCCATGGTTCCCTCAGCCCTGGACCTTCGGTGCCGTCCGGCTCTGCCTGTTCTTCCCGCTGCTTCTGCTTGAACTTCATGTTTCCATAGTGCATGATGGCGCCTGTCAGCTTGTAGACACCTGCCTTCTCCTCCGCCGTGAAGCTCAGCACGTCAAAGGCGCTCTGGGACAGAGGGAGAGATGTGGAGGGTGGGTGGAGGGTGATCCAGGAGCTCTCCAGAACCCCCCAAAGGCATCTCCAGCCTCCTCGCTCACATCAGTGGCCAAAAGCTCCTCGGAGTCATCGATGGAGGCCACAGACACCTCTCCCTGAGACACGAAGGCGTAGTCGTAGGGGTTGTTGGTGACCAGCAGCATGTCTGTGCCAAGCAGGGAGGGCAAGGTGGGGATGGGGGAGAAGGAGGTAGAGAAGGGGAAGGAGGGGAGAATGGAGGAAGAGTGGAGAAAAACAGGACAGGGAGGAGGTAGAGAAGAGGACAGTCAGTGAGGGCCAATGAGCCAATACGAAAGAAGTGAAATCACGGGGCGGGAGGGACCAGGAAAGAAGCTCTCCCCCCCCCCCCCGGGCCCAGTAGAAAGGAAGAAGGAGAACGTGGGACAAGAAGTGTGTGAAGAGAAGAAGGGAGGAAAGGGGGAGGAGAGAAAACATGGCAGGGAAGAGAGTGAAGTAAGGAGCAAGGTACTTGACAGTCATCAGGAGAGGAACAGACCAGCAGGGAGGAGGGAGGAAGAGAGGGCAGACCAGAAGGGAGGAGGGAGGAAGAGAGGGCAGACCAGCAGGGAGGAGGGGGAGGAAGAGAGGGCAGACCAGCAGGGAGGAGGGGGAGGAAGAGAGGGCAGACCAGCAGGGAGGAGGGGGAGGAAGAGGGGGCAGACCAGCAGGGAGGAGGGAGAGGAAGAGAGGAGCAGACCAGCAGGGAGGAAGGAGGGGGAAGAGGGGGAAGACCAGCAGGGAGGAGGGAGGAAGAGAGGGCAGACCAGCAGGGAGGAGGGAGAGGAAGAGAGGGCAGACCAGCAGGGAGGAGGGAGGAAGAGAG